AAATTAAATAAATACTCCTATATATTAGGAAAATAATTAAATGATTATTCCAAAATATTAGGAAAATAATCTAATGATTATTTTGTCCAATGTGAACTATATTTTAAAAGGATAAAAAAGACGAACGATATTTCGCTAAGGGCCTGCGTATTTTTAATATAGTTATAGTATATAGATAGATATAGATAAACAGAAGATTATGTATCTGATAAACTTGGTACACCAGATTTACTTACGAATATGCCAAACATATGGGGTCTCATTGTCTCATATATGGCGTAGTTGTGAATCCTGCATAACCCAATAGTCTTTTCTGTTAAAAAAAAATCTTAAAACCGGCTAAACATATTGAATTGAACCTAATTAACAATAAGGTATCAGACGCTCTAAACCGTCCTCTGATCCTGCATTCACTTTAATTGATTTTTTTAATTATTTTTACATATATTAAGAAATTCATCTTTAGTATTAATTAACAATAAAATTGACCATATTAATTTTAGTTTGTTTATTAAAAATATGATAAATACTTTCAATAATTAAAAATTAAAAACCTAAATATTAGGAAAATAATTAAATGAGTCCTCCTAATTATTATAGAAAAAATTAAATAAATACTCCTACATATTAGGAAAATAATTAAATGATTATTCCAAAATATTAGGAAAATAATCTAATGACTATTTTGTCCAATGTGAACTATATTTTAAAAGGATAAAAAAGACGAACGATATTTCGCTAAGGGCCTTCGTATTTTTAATATAGTTATAGTATATAGATAGATATAGATAAACAGAAGATTATGTATCCGATAGACTTGGTACACCAGATTTACTTACGAATATGCCAAACATATGGGGTTTCATTGTCTCATATATGGCGTAGTTGCGAATCCTGCATAACCCAATAGTCTTTTCTGTTAAAAAAAATCTTAAAACCGGCTAAACATATTGAATTGAACCTAATTAACAATAAGGTATCAAACGCTCTAAACCGTCCTCTGATCCTGCATTCACTTTAATTGATTTTTTAATTATTTTTACATATATTAAGAAATTCATCTTTAGTAATAATTAACAATAAAATTGACCATATTAATTTTAGTTTGTTTATTAAAAATATGATAAATACTTTCAGGCTTTTTACTCCAAGAGCAACTTTAAAAATTAAAAAAAAAATATTGTGAATCACAAAAACAGATCAAAAAACTAATTAAAGTAAAAATTAAAAAAAAACTAAATATTGTGAATCACAAAAAAAAATCAAAAAACTAATTAAAGTGAATCGGAGGTAGTATCAAGTATTAGCCTCAAATATGGGCAGTTGGGTTGTCAAAAGTGAAAGACACGCGCTTACCTAATCTGAGTAATACTGACTCACAGTTCAGTTCAGTTCAGTAGTTAGGAGTTAACGAACGGTTAAGTTGACTTTGCACCAGACTACAAGTAATACACATCTGCTTTGCAGATGAGGTTTCTTGATGTGTTGCAGAGCTGATGAGGTTTCAATGAAGATGTTGATGGAAGTGTTTGATCAATTCTCAAAGTCTCAGGCCTTCAAGCAAATTTGGAAAAAAGCTCACTGTACATAGCAGGTGTTCCCAGGGAATTCAAAGAAAAAAATGCTAGCAGAGCTTCACCTAGCAGAAGGCAGTTTTCCATTCAAATATTTAGGAGTACCTCTGTCCATAAGGAAAATTACTATAGCATAATGCATGCCATTAGTGGAGAGGATAGTGGACAGAATCAGAAGCTGGACATCCAAGTTTTTATCCTATACTGGAAGACTACAACTCATCAAGAATGTATTGTTTGAAATACAGACTTACTGGGCTCAAGTATTTTTTATTCCAAAAAAAGTTATTAAACTGGTAAATGGTATATGCAGGAATTACCTATGGACTGGTAGTCACTAGTCATAGGGCTCCTATAGCATGGGAGACTTTGTGTAAACCAGAAACTGCTGGAGGTTTAAACATTATCGATTATGAGAGATGGAATAAAGCTGCCTTGACTAAGCTTCTTTGGGCCATAATGTCTAAGAAAGACAAACTCTGGATCAAGTGGATTCACTGTCATTACATGAAGAAGAAAGACATTACTACTATGGAGATTCCTAGGCAAACTAGCAGGCTAGTAAGGAAACTGTTTGCAGCAAGAGAGTGGTGCGCTAATGATTTCACAAGAATTCAAACCTGCACTCAGAATGGGAAGTTCAGTATCAGGAAGGCTTACCTTCATACTACTCCACAGTATCCCAAAGTCCACTGGAAAACACTAGTTATGGTAACTGGAATGCTACCAAAACATAAGTACATTTTATGGATGGCAATGCATAGAAGATTGGCTACAGTTGACAAATTAGCCAAATGGGGAGTTCAAGTAGATCAGTCATGCACATTGTGTGGAAGAGATATTGAAGAGACACATGACCACTTGTACTTCGAATGTTCATACTCACAGAGTCTATGGAAAGGAATATTAAGATGGCTAGAGTACCAAAGAACAACTGGTAACTGAGAAACAGAATTGCAATGGCTAATTGCCAATGTAAACAATAGGAATCCAAGAAAGGCACTGCTAGGAGTGGTATTTGCAGCAGTAATATACAACATCTGGATGGAGCGAAATGATAGAAGATTTCAACAGCTGAGCAGAGAAGCCAAAGACAGATCAAAGGAAATTGCTCTTCAAGTGCATATTGCTGGACAAAAGAAGCCTAAATGGTCATCTATTCTGCAGTCATTCAATAGTTATCCTACATGTAATCCAAGGTACATATGACAGCTAGAGTCTATATAGTGTTAGGATTTTTCTAAGCAACAATAGTTATATAGTGTTTTATGTGGTTGTACTTATGAGATCTGTTCTATAGTCCAAAAAAATAGATGATGTAAACTGACAATATGGTTGAAATAAAAAAAAATTCTTTCGAACGGTTGCGTTGACTTTGGTCACAAATATATCTTTAGGCTATGAGCCCGTTTGGATTAGCTGAAAAAAAGTAGTGCTTAAGAGCAGCTTTTAAGTGCTGAAACTTGTTTTATAAATAAGCAGTTACCTGTTTGGATAAAAGTGCTGAAACTTAAAAAAAAACTGTTGAAGTATTTGGTAAACAAGTGCTGGTAAGAACTTTTTCTGTTAAAAAGACAGAAATATTCTTAAAGTTGTTAACATTATAAAAGGAGCTGATTACTACAATATATTTGATTCATAAGTAATGCAAACAAGAAATAATTCATATTTTAATTTAAATAATTAGTTAAGATAGTTTTTTTATTTGTTTTCCAAGAAAATAAAAAGAATAGTTTTTGCTTTGTATATATCTGTATGAGAATCTAATTGATCAATTGCTTTTTTTTCCTTCTCTTGGCTCAGAAAGTGCTGCGACAGAAGTCAATCACAAACTTAAAAAGCCATTTTATACATCAAGCTAATCAAATTGAAGTTATACACTGATTTCTCAAATTATATAAAAAGTTAGGTCAGTATATGCATATTTCAAGAGAACGAAACAAAATAACCTTTCTCAATTGGAATGTAAAATAATAAATATTAGTGTTTTAAAAGATACATACAACTACAAGTATCAAGCTTCACAAATTTCATTAGCAATCAAATTGTGAAGACCCATCCATACAAGATCACTTTGCTCTTCCACATTTTCCGCATTTATATTGTTATTAGCTCTCAAAGATGTACCAACATCAGGATCAACAAATGGAACATATCTCTCATTCTCAGCTGCTCGGAATGCATCATCCATATTGCATTTCTTTCTAATATAGTTATGAATGGCCATAGTAGCAAGTACGATATCTCTTTGAGTGTCAATGTGATAAAAAGGCATGTCTCGCAACATAGACCATCTTGCTTTCCAAACCCCAAATGTGCGCTCTACAATATTTCTACAAGAAGAATGCAAATAGTTAAATTTTTCAATTCGCCCTCTTGGTTCTCGCAATTGTCTTGTTGCACCGCGGCGGAATTGTGCTAGGTGATATCTCACATTATCTCCTTTGTATGGAGCCATATATCCCTTCATGTGAGGATATCCTGCATCAACAAGATAATACTTATTTTCAATTGGACGTGGAAAGTTATCCGGTCTACGAAGGGCTTCACCAAATATACGACTAACGTGCACTTCTCCTTCCCACTCAGCCCATGCAAATGTAAAACACATATTAAAATCTACGACAGCAAGAATATTTTGAGTCGGATAACCTTTACGTCCAATATATGGTATCTCTTGACCTTGCGATAATCTTGCTTTGACATGTGTGCCATCAAGTGCTCCAATACAATCCTACATACATTTATAAGTATAAATTCAACTTAAGTTAGTATTACTTATAAAAGTTAACTTATAAGTTTAATAAAAAAATAATTATGTAAAAATATTGCTTATTCTAAAGAAAGGGAGATATTGACCATTACATGGCTTGTAAGCTCCTGCACCATCATTATAATTTTGATGTGGTCTAATTATATCTCTTGCAAGCTCACAAACGGCCTTTAAGACACTATGAAAATGTCTATGAATTGTTGCTCCCAAATGTTGAAAGATTTCCTGTATCAATCGATTTCCAGCTCCATGTGCACAAGTCCTCAAGAACATGCCTAACATCTCGTGTATAGACATTCCACGTGTGGGTTTAAGCCCATACTTTTCAGTTAAATCATTCGATAGATCAACAAATACCGAATTCCTCAATCGAAAATTTTCATAACAACGAGTCTCGTTTCCTCTTAATATCTCTTGAATAAATACATTTTCAGAGCGACTAGATGTACGACAAGGTTCCTTGCATAGGTATTTCTCGTAATACATCAAAATCAATTTACCTGCAATTTGACATAAGACCGTCCATTCCATCTCATCTTGCTCCCTCTGTATCTCATCCAGTTCTTCTTCATCTTTCATCGTCTGACGAATAACTTGGATAAGGATCTACTATGTCACTAGAGTTCGAACTCTCCATGTTACTGAAAATGAAAACATAAAGTTTAGCAATATGCTTTTCTAAATAGTACTGAAGAGGCTTTCAAACATATGCTTTCTTCAATTCTTCTTTATGTACTGAAGAGTCCTTCAAACAAAAAGTTTACCAAAGCTTAACAATAGAAGTAATATAAGCTTACCACAAACAGAACCAAACAGAAGTTTAACAATATAAGCTTAACAATAGAACCAACGCTTTCAAACATAAAGTTTACCACAAACATAAGTTTTAATTTAATAAGAGTTTAGTGATACAATCCCAATGTCTAAACAAGAAGCAATATAAATTTTACACATAAAATCATAATAACGTCTACATATACAATCATAATATTCAAACACGGAATAATAGAAATACTCAATCACAACGATACACTATTCATTTTTCTTGAGGTATAACTGATAGTTAAACTCCAACCAATTCTTGCGAGCTTCATTAGTAGGCATCCCCAAAAATATCTGTCGGTTATTTTTTTTTGCGGAACATATTCATAGTAAAACTGTAAATTTCACTCCCAGCTAGAATATCAGGAATTTGTTCCAACGTGCCAATACACTTCTCGATGGATGTTTCATCAACTGTAGGAGATGTAGCAGTGCTTTTGCTAGACATAAACTCTATGAGAGAGTGTATATCTTCTTTTATTAATGTTGCAGCTGTTCTTTTCTTACTTTTTCTTACTTGACTTCTAGTGCTAACACCATCAGTTGATTTTTGTCTTTTTAGTGATGGCTCTGGAAACATAACAAAATTTATATTCTGTAGATCATCGCTCATTTCATTATTAAGATGAGTAAAGTGTTCTTTGTCATAATCACCAATGACATTTATTCCTTCTTCGTCAAGATTAAGTCCTATGCCCGATAATTGTTCTTGATTTGTTGCACGTGCTCTTTCTCCTATGGTAACAACATCGCAAACAGTGCATCGTAGCAAAATCATATGAGCGAAAGATCTTTGTTCCTAAATTTCTTATATTTTGCATTCTCCTGTAAAAAGAGAAAATAAAATCTACTTTAATCAAACTGATAAAATTAACAATGACAAAAATAAGAATTACATATATGATAAAGTGAGAGATGTACCTTAATTTTTCGATCCCACCAATCATCATCTGCCATAATCGTATTTTTCGTGGCATCTCATCCTAACTCCGTCTCCCCTCTCATCAACTGCTTAAAAAGTGTTCATTCTCCTTTCATGTAATCCCAATGATTTTTCATTTTTTTATCATAGTCTTTTCCCGTCTTCTTACAGAACTCGTCAACAATACTTTTCCACCCATCTTTATTTAAGTAAGTGTTTGGTCTATTTCCTTTTCTAACCTCTTGCTCACACAACTCAAGAAATATAATATGTGTATCATCGTCCCATTTAGCATTGTCCGGCATTATTGAATGTAAATAATCTGAAGAAAGCAGAACAACGAAGAAGCTAAGACTGAAGTTGCATAAAGAGAGCCTTGTGTTTGACAGCCTAAAAGAGAAAGAAGCCAAGGCTGAAGTTGCTAAGACTGAAGTTGCTCACACTAACTCCTTGGTATGGCATATTGTGACCAAGCTTTAATATGGCCCAAAAAAAATATTCAGGTCCGACAAAGTTGATTCTATACAAAGTATAATATGCAAAAAAAGTATAATATACAAAGTATAATATGCAAATAGAAATAAAGGATTTAATTACACAAACATTCTCTAGTTTTCACCTTCTAATATAAATACAATCTTTACAGAACTTTGTATTTTAAGGTAAAGCAGTACATTTGACACCCAATGTACAGTTTAATTATGAGGTACAAAAGTAAGTTTTCTTTTTCAGCTTTAGTCTCATTATTAGGATCATAGTTATCTCTTACCCTTGCTATGGACAAACTTATAAGCAGAAGATTACTTTTCTTGACTTGAATTACATATATTGGAAAATTTTTGAAAAATTACAATACAAATACTGAACTAGTATCCATTTTTATCACAGAAAAATAGCAGGTAGAATAACTCTACATTTACTAACATAAATTCTTGGGGACCCCTTTACTTACAGGATTGAAAAAAATACATCTTTACTCCTATTAAGGTAAAGCAGTTGCGCTGGAGTTTGTAAAGCAGTTGCTCCATTGGATTGGCTAACTCCTTTTATGCGACTAGATATTTATGCACTAACTTCTCTTCTTTTCTTGTGGAGTATATGTCTGATAATTTCTGATTAACTAATTTAGATAAGAACACATTTAACTGTATAAAAAGGGAGATATTGTAATTTTTGTAAGCACATCAGAGATTTTAAAAAAAAAAAATTATTTTGGGCATATCTATTAGCCCTAATCTCCAATGGAATTGGAATTAATCCAAAACTTTGAAAACACACTAGGAATTGAAATTCAACAGGAAGATTACTTACTGTGAAGAGGCTTTCAAATTGGAGTTGAAGTTGGGGAGAGTTATGGAAGAAGAGGAAGAAGAACGCAGAGGAAGAAGAACGCATACGCTGCAACAAGAATGGACAAAAGAAAAAGAGACTGTATGTTTTAGGGTTTTTTTTATTGAGCGATAATTTCGGGATTAAGAAAAATAGTATGTTTTAGTGTTTTTTTTACTAAGGGGTAATTTTGGGATTAAAAATAATAATAAGGGATAAGAATGTAATATACTTGGTCAAAAATATCTAGCTTTTAAGCCAATTTAGAAAAAGTTGGGCTTACCCAACTTATTAGTTTAGGCTTTTTTTAAGCAGATTTTAATTTTTTTAAGCCCTTTTTTTTAGTTGTCAAACACTACTAAAAGTTAAAAAGACAGAGCTTTTAAGCCCATCCAAACAGTCTCTGTATCTCAAACTTGAATAATCTTACTCAAAACCATAGGGATATTACATAGTAAGTGGAAATGGAACTTCTCTCAAACTCGAGGTGGAATTTTCAAGGAAAAGAAGATGCAAAGAAAGCATCAGCTTGCACTATCAGAAGTTATCTCAACACTTTGAATGAAAACATTAATAAAAGTGATACAAGAACTGTAATCCCTCTTAGCCATGGCGATCCCAGTGGTTTTCCAAGTTTTCGAACAACGAAGGTATCAGAGGACGCTCTTGTTGATGCACTTCAATCTGGTAAATACAATGGCTATGCCCCAAATTCTACTACTCTTCAAGCCAGGAGGTAACTCTAAAACTCTTCTCAGATTTCTCCCTTTTCTTTCTCCTAACTTTATCTTCTACTGGGAGTTTATTTTAATTAAAGTTCTGACCTTTTTTGGGATAGATTATAACTCGTAAATTTAAAACTGCATACAATAGATCCTTGTGGTTCGGTTCGGGCATAGCAAGAGCTTAGTAAACCGGGCTGCCCTCACAGTCTAAAGATTTTTTTGACCCCTTATAGCATCATAATTAGTGCAGTATCACTTTTACCTGGTTACTGTTTAATACTCATCACATAAATTTACTTATAATTATCTTACAGATGACCTGATCTTGTTACAACATTAGTAGATTTTTTTTTAAATTACATTGGGGGTAGGGGTGTGAAATTGGGAAAAGGAATAATGCAAGATGCGAAATCGAACCCTCACCAACAAGGTGAAAGTTTAGGTACCAAACCAACCGAGTTACTAAGATTCCCCACATCAATAGATAGAACTTAAATTCTTTTTCAAAATGTAATTGTACTGCAGTAGGCCAAGAACTAGTCTTTAGTAATGTTGATGTTTCAAATATTTACCAGGTCAATTGCAGAATTTCTGTCTCGTGATTATCCGTACGAATTGTCACCGTATGATGTTCACGTCACAGCTGGGGCTAAGCAAGCAATAGAAGTCCTAATTACAGCTCTTGCTGTACCTGGTGCTAATATTTTGCTTCCTAGACCAGGGTATCCAACATATGAAGCTCTTTCCACATTTAGCCGTATCGAATTTCGGTACTATGATCTTCTCTCTGAGCAGGATTGGGAGGTTGACATCAATGGGCTTGAAGCTCTAGCCAATGATCGTACTGTTGCCATGGTTGTTATAAACCCTGGTAACCCGTGTGGGAATGTGTACAAGCATGAACATTTAAAGAAGGTCATTTCGTTGTTGCATTAGACTGTGCTTATTTTGTTTAAAGTGTTGATTGAGGTTTATTGCTTGTTGCTTTATTTTTACTATTCTTTGAGCCGAGGGTCTATCGGAAACAACCTTTCTACCTTTATAGGGTAGGGGTAAGGTCTGTGTATACACTACCCTCCCCAGACCCCACTTATGAGATTAAATTGGGCTTGTTGTTGTTGTCGTTGTTGATTGAGGTTTGCTCATTAATTGTTGGTTTCTTAAATGGGAGTAACAGATTGCAGAAGCTGCAAAAAGGCTTGGAATGCTAGTAATATCAGATGAAGCCTATGGTCATCTAGTGTTTGGTAGTAATTCATTTGTGCCGATGGGAGTCTTTGGAGAAATTGTGCCTATTCTGACAATTGGCTCCATATCAAAGAGATGGATGGTTCCTGGTTGGCGAGTTGGTTGGATCGTGATGTGTGATCGCAATGGCATCCTTCAAAAACATGGGGTTCTCTTTCTCTCTCTCTCTCTCTCTCTCTCTGTAAAGCGAAAAACACAAGGAAATTCTGATGAAAAAAATCAAGTTTTACATTTTTCTTTCTTTTGTTAAGGAAAAGTATGCATAAGGGAAAAAATAACAAAGATTGATTTTCCAGTCATACATGTCGTTTACACCCTAAACGACATATTAAGGCTTTGCATAAATTAACTTACAGTTGGCCCCATTAGTAGCAATTCTGCTTGCTCGTAAGGGTGTTATATTTACACTCAACACATCCAGAAATCTATATGCAGAAATAAGAACCTTACTTTTCTTCTTCTGATCTCAGGTTGTGGAGTCCATCAAAAGTTGCCTTGAAATCTCTGCTGACCCTTCTACACTCACTATGGTACATTATACAAGCATTTATTTGAAAGGTTTGGTATAGTGTGCAACTATATGAAATGTTAAACCAAGCAAAACGGTATCGCCTTAAAAGCATGGAAAACTAGTCTGGTTGCTTTTTATTTGCTGTTAAAGTTCTACTCAGAGCTGCAAACTAGTCTGGTTACATTTTTTTTTTAAATAAGTTGATAACAAGGAGCATGATCGTCGAAACATGCGTGTCATGATGCGTGCCTAAAGTTTTTGTATCAATAGGAATGCATATCGTCGGCTGCTTGGGATTATCAGTAATTGATGAATGATTGTTGCATCGTCGTCCAAATTATAACATGCCCTCTTCTGTTTTTCCATGTGACATCAATAAAATTCCTTTTCATGGACGAATATTTTTTTTCCATATTTCTGAGTTACCATGTATAGTGTTTCTTGTGATTCCATTCAAATCTTAGTAGAACTGTCTGTGTTTAAAAGTAGAAATCATTAGATTTGTATTGAAATGAGTCCGAATTTCTCCTGCACATTATCTTTCATAAAGGTATTTTTGTGCTATTTGGATTATCTTTCGAACAAATGAAACTAAATTTAAGTATCTAACCTTGTTCCTTTTCATTCTTGAGGGTGCTATTACTCGTATTCTGGATGAAACACCTGAAGATTTCTACTCTAATACCATAAACCTACTTAGAAAAGCAGCAGACATTTGCTATACTGGTCTAACGGAGACTCCATGCTTTATTCCATACAAGCCACAAGGATCCATGTTTCTTATGGTATCGCTATAAACACCTTTGTCAAAATATACTTATATTTCAGGATTTTGTTGGATAAAGATTCTGAATAGTCTATTTTGCTCCATCTCTATCAGGCAAAACTAAACATGTCACTTCTGGAAGGCATCGCCAATGATACGGAATTCTGCACAAAGCTTGCCAGAGAGGAATCTGTAATAGTTCTACCTGGTAAGTTGTTCCGTTGCATGGTTGACAACATTAAAGATGTAGAACTTCAGGCAGGAGGATCTTTGCATGTTCATAAATATTAACGTATTGTAGGGGAAGCACTTGGATTGAAGAATTGGGTAAGAGTAACTTTTGCTGTGGAAATTTCAGCTCTTGAGGAAGGCCTTGGCAGGATCAAAGCCTTTTGTTCCAGAAATACGAAACAAAAATAAGCCTTTTCTGTGTCACATAGACAAATTGTTTCCAAGTCTGCCAAAAACCAAACAATAATAGTTGCAGATGTTGCTATGGGACTTGATAATTGGCTCCTAATAACTGTTGCAGTTAAGCCATCATAGGTCGATGATGGTCTTTAGGGGATAAAAGCATTCTGCCAAAGGCATGCAATTGAGAAAAAGCAAGCAGATTTCATCTGATGAGCGAGTGAAATGTGGTGACGTGAAGCTGCCCATAGCCTCTAGGTCAATCATCGAAAGAAATGTAATATGATACTATAATGTCTGGTTCTCTTAGGTTGTCATAGATAATACTACAATGTCAAGCTGGGCTGCATCCCCAACTTCATGGCTGGCTATATGCTCATGTTACTGTATTCAAGTATAATAAGTGTGAGCCGTCTAATCTTGAAGATGGACTTGAGAGGATAAAAGCTTTCTGTTGAGGCATACAAGAAGCTAGAAATTATGCTATCAATTGCAGATTTATTGTGAAACAGTCTTTAAGTAAGGAAAAGGCGTTAAAAGTTAAAACATACTAGAGCCACTGTGCAACGAATTCTTTTTCAGAGTTGCAATTTCCTATTGCTTTGAAGATATAAAAAAACTGTGCAACTCTCAAGCTGGCAAAGATAATACTACTTGGAGAATGGAAGATGTACCAAGTTGGACACAGGTTTCTAGGAATGAATATGAAATTAGTTACTCCCTCCGGTCCATTTTAATTGATTTTTTGGTTTCTTTTTTAATGGTTCATAATATTTGATTTTTTCGGATATTAAAAAGGAATTTGTAGCGTTAGCTACGAGTTTTGGATTGAATAAGCTCAATGAACAAAAAAGAAAAACAAACAAATAGGAAACAAACTTAGATTTCAATATTCAATACCTCCTCTGTCAATGACAGACTACAAATATAGGAAATGCTGGACCAAAAGATAACCACTAATAGTACTAATGGACACATATCCTTCATTTACTAGCTAGCCGTTCCTAGGACTGAAAATAGTAATTATCTAACTTAGGGGCTAAAGTGTCACCCTTTTATACTATCTGGTATTTTATAATTAGGCCCTAAGTGAATAGTTACGACCAATTCGTGACATTCCATCCCTCTCTTGTCCTTTCTTCTGCATTACTGATCAAAATCTGGAAATTGGGATATGAAGAAGGTGTAATCTTCCCATGTTGCCTCATTCTTTGAAAGATTTGCCCACTGAACTAGGACCTGGGTAGTAGCTTTATTGCCCCTCACGATTATGCGGTCTAGGATGGCTACTGGCTCAGTCAAAACTTGACCATCATCGATGCAAATTGGTGGCTCTTTCGATAGCTGCACATGATTTTCCACTGCCTTCTTTAATTGAGACACATGAAAGACGGGGTGTATTTTTTATCCTAAAGGAAGCTTGAGCCCATAAGCAACCTTGCCAATTTTGCGGACCACTTCAAACGGCCCATAGAACTTAGCTGCCAATTTCAAATTCCGTCGGATTGCCACTGATGTTTGATAGTAGGGTTGTAATTTCAAAAATACCATATCTCCAACTTCGAAATTCCTGTCACTTCTCTTGGAATCAGCGTGTTGCTTCAT